TCTATAAGGGAATAGAACCACAGATCGAGAGTATATACAGCTTAAAAAATGATAGGACATTTGTCTCTACAAGCACAATTGGAACAGCATCAGGGAAGCCACCTTTTTTCTAGGTCCAGGCAGGGCGTAATCCATAACAACTTATACCAAGATTTTGGAAGACAGCAGCTCTTGATACTCTGAATGTAATGGAGACTAGGAAGGAAAATGGAGACATTTCCTCTTTTCTCAAGCCAGTGCATATTCAGCCTGTAGGGTTATCTACAGGGGGGTTCCCAGGTGGCACTAGTGGTAAAGAACCCATCTGCCTGCCAATGCAGGAGATGTGAGAAACGTCAGTTAGATCCCTGGGTTGGGATGGTCCCCTGGAGGAGAGCATGGCAACCCACTCCAGTATTCTTCCCTGGAGAATCCCCATGGACAGAGGAACCTGTCAGGGTACAGTCCGTAGGGTCGCAAAGAGTCAGACATAACTGAGCAGAGAGCAGAGAGCAGAGAGCAGAGAGGGATGTAGATCCCAATCCTTGTAATATCACAGGGTAGGGATGTCTCTGTTCTTTTAGTCTTTGACATCAAAAAATAAGGTCACCATTGCTCTGAAATACAACTCTTTATGTGGGAGACAGCAAAAGCGGTAGGGGGAGTCGAGATGGATGGGAGCAGAGTAGACATTGGGCAAGGTCCCTTCTCCACCTTTTCCACCATTGCAAAGACCTGTGAGGATACCCAGTGGCTGTGGTCCTCTAACCAACAATCTAGGACTTCTGGGTAACTCTACTATGGAAAAACTGGAGCTTGATGTGCAGCCCAATTTCCTAAAAGACCCAACTCTGCAATTGGCTTCCTTGGAATGCTGCAGGCCCAACTGGAGAGTTTTCTTTTTCTTTTTTTTTCTTTTTGGCTAAACCATGCAGCATGCAGGACCTTAGTTCCTCGACCAGGAGTGGAATCTGTGCCCCCTGCATTGGCAACTCGGGGTCTTAGCCACTGGGTCACCAGGGGAGTTCCATAATTGGAGTATTGAGATCCGCAAATCTCACTCATGTTAAAATGAACCCTAGCAACCAAACTGAGGCACGTGCATTGAAAAAGCAGCAAGCGGCAAGCCCTGCCCCTCAAGAGTGTCTGGTGTGGTCCTGAATGCCTGTGGTGAGGATGGAGGATGCAAGCCTACGGTGTGTGGCATTCACAGCTGTGGCAGAACATTGGATTCGCCTCAGTTGTCACAGACTCAGACGTGTTAGATAAAACAGCTGCACTTCTGTGCGCCCTTCACTGGTCCGTGGAAATGGACCATTTTCTCATACTGCTAATTCTGAAAGTCTTCAGTGGACGGAGCTGTGGGAAGGAACTTAAAAAAAAAAAAAGGTTTAAAGGCATGCGTTGAATTTGCTAATAGGCATGTGTGGTCCTTTTGGAACCCAAATAGAATTTTTGATGAAGTACCTTGTGGCAAGTTTGAAATATTAGCCTGGGGGCCTCAACAAGACATAATTCACTCCACTGGTGAGAACAAATCTCATTTCCACATTCATTCCTCTAAACTCATTACTGACCCAGGGGGAAAATGCTAGCCGGAAGCAAGTTTTAATAGAGACAGTGGCAGAGACTTTGCTATAGTACTAAATGTAGTGATGAGTGACACGCCACTTGGTGGCAATGGTTCCCTGGACCTATGGAGACCCTGGAAGGCAACTTCCAATGGGCTTAACTCTCCATCGAGAGCAGAACAGGTCATGGAAGAAAAGATGTCATTATTTTATGTGATAATCTGTCACATAAGAACCACTTTAGCTTAAGGGGTCTGATTGTTAGCTTGCCTTCAAAAGAACCATTGCTGAAAACTCACTTTAAATCAATTATGCTTAAAAAAAAAGGCAGATGCAATACAGGAATTAAAAAAAAATGATGATAACTTTGGGGTCAGAAATATCTAGATTCAAGTTTCAAATTCATAACACACTTTTTTCCCTTCTCAAGACTTAATCTCTGCCACTAGAATTATGCTTTCAGCTGAACAGACTTTATCTGTGGGCAGGGTCCATGTCTTTGCTGTTTGATGCTACATTCTCACACATCTTATCATATAATACATGCTCTTTAAGTATGGATTAAGTGGATCTACTTTCAAGGACTACTATAAAGATTAAGAGAGCTCAGATATATAATTCTTTTGGCACTTTGCTTGGCATGCGGTAGTTCACAACAAATTCAGAACAAATTAACTGCTGGTACAAGGCCACTGGTGGAATGGCCACAAGAAGAGCTTTTAATGAAAAATTCAACCAAACTGAAGAGGTCTGCCAGCTATTGCAGTTCTGGCAGGAAGGGACCAGGTCCAGAGAAGTCAAAGAAGGGAGACAGGACACCTTGAAAATACAAGTGGGAGTGGGGGCGGGGTTGAGGGGGTAGAGGTGGGTGTTGAAAGTGAAAGTGTTAGTTGCTCAGTCCTGTCCGACTCTGCCACCCCATGAAATGTAGCCCACCAAGCTCCTCTGTCCATGGGATTCTTCCTGCAAGAATACTGGACTGGCTTGCCATTTCCTCCTCCAGGGGATCTTCCCGACCCAGGGATCAAACCTCAGTCTCCTGTATTGTAGGCAGATTCTTTACTGTCTGAGGCACTAGGGAAGCGGAGGTGGGGTGGGGGTATTTAAAAAGAGCCATTAATGCCACTTAGGGAACTGTGCTGGCTAAAAATAATCCTTAGTTTTATCTAGCAGTTTTGACAATTCCTGTCTTTCCAAAGGATATCTGGGCTTCCCAGGTGTCACTAGTAGTAAAGAATTTACCTCCCAGTGCAGGAGACATAAGAGACATGGGTTGGGTGGGGAAGATCCCCTAAAAGAGGAAATGGAAACCCCCTCTAGTATTCCTGCCTTAAGAATCCCATGGCCAGGGGAGCCTGACGTCCAAAGGGTCTCAAAGAGTCAGACATGGGTGAAGTGACTGAGCATGCACTCCAGAGGATATCTACATCTAGGCAGGTAAAGTCAAATAGGGAATAAAAGCATGTGTCTAGAGACTTCACCCAGCCAGCTATCAGGAGGGAAGCACATATGAGTTTGGAGGGGCACTTGTCCTAACTTGTTCCTCCTCACCCCTCACTGCCCTCACATGCCCTTCCATTTCAGGCCAGCCAAGCTGTCCCTAACATTCTCCATGACCTTATGATGACTTTCTCATTCCCCTGTGCTTGCTTGTTGAGCTTGTCTCTGCCCATCTAATTTCTACACAGTCTTTAATCCTGAAAATAATCTGTACAACTTTCCTATTCACTATATGGGAGAGAGAAGCAGAGAATAGTAGCGCAATGGTATTGCTCCCCATCTCTTCTTCTCAATCTTTATCACACCCTGTCATTTGCTTCCATACTGTGAAGATTTCTCTTATTGTTGATAATGTATATATCTTGTTTACTGAAAGAAACATGACTTCAAAATAGGAATGCTTCCCTGGTATATATCCTCCATGGGTTGGTTACTCACGCATATGACAAGAAAAACACCTATCCAAAAAAAGGTAAAAGGAAATCAGCAGGTACCTGGTTCACACTGTACTGACAGGAGCAAATGGGTTTTGTGTGATTATCTGTAACTTCCCACAGACATTTAGAGGAACTATGATATGCAAGGGCTTCCCTGGTGGCTCAGATGGTAAAGAGTCCACCTTCAATATAGGAGACCTGGGTTCAATCCCTGGGTCAGGAAGATCTCCTGGAGAAGGAAATGGCAACCCACTCCAGTATTCTTGCCTGAAGAATTCTTTCTTTCATGATATGCAAGGGATTCAGAAGGAATATCACTGAAAGAATGTCAGCAGCATCTATGCATATACGTGTAAGCATATACATTAAATGTACATACATGTATACACACAATGAGATTGTATCTTCACCTAGTCATTCTCAGAGGCAGGACTCCTAAGCAGGATCTGATTAAAATTCTGATTACAACCAATTCCTATAAACCAGGGCTGCCCACATCAGCAAAGCACTTTGGGAAAGAGCTTAAGAGTCCCTGTAGTAAGATCAACGCTGACCCACCCCCAACCCACAGCCACTATCGCTGATTCTTGGGGCTAAGCATTTCTCCAGTTGACTGCTCCCAACCTTTCCCCATCTACCCTGCTCCTTCTGCTCAGCGGTTTCAGTTTAGCCTCCCAGCCCCGCTAGAACCCTCATAGACAGGTATGTCCCTGCAACACACAAACATGCATCTTCCTTTAAGCTCACACAACCTGAAATTGACAAATTAAAGTTTCCAGTTGTTGCCTCCTCTTTAGGGAAGAGGAAAGACATAATGGATATTGGGACTTTAATAAGGAACTGATCATCCTTTCCTGAGAAAGGTAGACAATGAAAAAAAAAAAGCAATCTTCTGCTTTCTGATTGATGGGATGGAGATGTAGGTGAGACAGGGGACAGAGACAGCTAAGAGCCTGCTGTCACAAAGAGTGAAATGGAGATTTCAGAGAGTTCTCTTCACTCCAGAATTACCCATTGATTATTTCCTATCATATTAACTGTGAAATGCTTCCAACAGTGGATGCCAGATAAGGGCTCTATATCAGCAAGTAAACATTTCCTGGCATCATAAGTGTAATGAAACAGAGGGAGTAATAAAAGGATGAAACCATATATCCATAAAGAAGAGAGGGTGACTTCTAGTGCAGATGGCTGCCCACGCTGAGCATGTCATCATGAAAGTTGAAAGAATCAAGTCTTAGGCATATGTTACAGTGAAAGCCCAACAAGGGTGCTGACAAGATAGCAGGATAAACAATTATAGAATTAATTAATTACAGCTCTGCTTATACTTCTATTGTCAGTGCTAATTATTTGTTGGTTTGAGTAAACTCCCCTGCCTTCATTAGAGGCTGTCAGTGAATAATGTACTTGGATTTGCACAAGTACCAGTTGTTGTTCCCAAAGATTGTACCTGCAGCATTAGCTCATATTCTCACATAATGACATTAATAATTAAGGAGCATGTACTCACTGAAGCTAAAAATGCATTGTTTTCAACAAGAGGTATGTTATTGTCCTTCCATTAGACTTTAGCCTTCTGTCTGGTTTTTGGTGCATCAAGGTAACAGGTTTCCTTCAACTGTGGAGAAAACAATGGTTAGGTTCTTTGGAAGAGGATGAGCTAGCGAGAGATCCCTCCATGAAGCATTTGCAGACCATCAAATCCATTTTGCAAATGATGCCCCTTCTGTGTCCATCCTCTGTCCCTGCTCAGGTATTCTAATTCCAGCAACACTCTTGGCAGGAGACCTAATCTGGAAATCTTCCAATAAGGAACCAGCGATAGAACTAGTTTGATCATGCCTCTGATTAATGTCTACCTTTAACAAAAGAGTAGCTGCTATTCTGTTGATTTCTTATAGCTGTGCTCAGACTCACAAACAGACAGCAGCATGTGTTTTAACTTCCTCAGTCCTATAAGTCTTTATGATCTATGCAGTAGGGGAAAGGGTGGGAATAGGGACAGAAATTGCAAGGAGATAAATCAAGATCTGTATCAGCAATGCCTTAGGAACATCCAGGGAGAGAGAAACCAGACTTCTAAAATGGAAAGATACAAGGAAGCTAGATTCATCAGTTTTGATTACTGAATGAAAGGGTGTGTGTAAATGGGAGGGAAAAATGGAAGAGACAAGACTGTTGCAGACTAGAAACATGTAGTCATGAGAAATCTGGTCCAATTTCACTGTAGGGTGTTATTTTGGAGATATTTATAACTTTTTAACCAATAGCGAAAGAGAATCTAATCAAAACTATCCTCCTTTAAAAGATAGATCTGAAGAAATTTACTTTTTTTTTTTTTCCTTTTTAAGAAGTTACTTTGTTTCCTTAAATGGAAAGTTTTCTGTGGTATATCTTATTTTAGAATCTCTAACTTTATCTTCTTCTTTTTCCTATAAAAAAAAAAAAAAACTGTTGGTAATTTGTGATTTTTGTTATTTCTGGGCACATTTACATTGCCCATTAGTGTCAAATGCTAAAGGTGGCAATTCCAAAAGAAAAGGAATAGAGTCACATGTCCCTATAACCCTTAGTAACACACAAAGATGAAGTGAAGGAAAGGCAAGGGGGGGGTGGGGTTGGAGGAGGACAAAATCTGACTGTAGAAGCAGATAAAATGACAGGAAGACTAGAGTTGCCATCTGCTGGACGATGGAAAGAATGACATTTGACACTCACTTTGCAAGAGCAAAGCTAAACTCATTAGTCAAAATAATAAATTTCCAATTTCTGTGTACTGCCAGTTCAAGGATAAAAAATTGGGAAGGGGGTGTTATTATTTCAGCATGGCAGTTTTTGAATAATGTAGAAAATATATGGGGGAAGTCAAACAATAGCATCCCCTTTTCTTAACTTGCACCCCGCATACTCTTAAAAGGGATGATGAATATTGCTTTATATGCTTTCAAATGCCAGCATGTTCCTTCAAAGTGTACTTCTCACTTTTACCACTGCAACTTTGAATAGAAAATTGATGATGGAATTTCTTCTATAAGTATGCCTAGTCATTGCTTCCAGATTTTTTATGCTTATGTAACATGGCCACATGCATGAAGCTCACTTAAGTTCAATATAGACAGCACTGGACTGGGAGTCAGGGTGGACAGGTGGATAATCTCAGTTTGCCTACCAGCTACCGATGTAACTGTGCGCTAATCACTTTATTCCTCTGGGCCTTGGTAGTTTAAGCTGTAAAATTATAAGTGTTATGGAGGATGGGCTGCAGAGTTTAAATGATCTCTGAGGTCCTTTTTAGCTCTCAAATTCTGTGACTCTATAAGCATTCCAAACTCATGTAGCACTTATAACATGAATATTCAATCTAAATTCTCAACATTGCTTCTACAGAATACAGCAAAACAGTATCTAATGTCTTGATTAATCAGCCAAAACTATCTTCCTTACGAATGAAGGGAAAGATGTTTTCCCCCTTCTCATACTGCAGAGGAGCCAGTTATTTAAACCTGCTTTCTCTGACACTGTTCTTGTTGCAGCAAATGCCATAGAAAGTTCCTGGGGAGGGGGGTAAACTAGGAGGCTGGGATTAATATATACACACTACTATGTATAAAATAGATAACCAACAAGGACCTACCATATAGCACAGGGAACCATACCATGTAATGTTATGTATATGTAATAACCTATAAGAGAAAAGAATATGAAAAAAATATATATATGTATATATATATATACATATATAACTGAATGGCTATATATATAACTGAATGGCTATGCCGCACACCTGAAACTTACATGGTCTTGTAAATCATTTATGTGTGTGCTGTGTGCTAAGTCGTTTCAGCCATATCCAACTCTTTGTGACCCATGGACTGTAGCCTGCCATGCTCCTCTGGAATTCTCCAGGCAAGAATACTGGAATAGGTTATGATGCCCTCCTCCAGGGGATCTTCCTGACCCAGGGATCAAACCCACATCTCTTATGCCTCCTGCATTAGCAGGCAGATTCTTCATCATTAGTGCCACAAGAGAAGTCCTAAGTCAACTATACTTCAAATTTTTTAAAAATTTAAAGGAAAAATTATGAGGAAAAAAAAAATCCAAAAACACTTTAAGAACCACGGAGTTAGAATAGCAAGCAACCTTGAAGATCAGAAGTGGAAACTGAGGTTAAGGGACTCATCCAACTGGTTTGGGACCAAAATGGATTGTATCATTCAATTGGCAAATTCTTCTTTACTGAAACAAACCCATCCTTCTTTCTGAAGCTCCACATTCTGCATACCTACAGCATCCAAGTCAGGTGACCCATCCTTTCTAACCAATTCTCAGCCCAGAGTGAATTCTCCTGCTTCTAGAAACATGGGTGTTTAATATTTGAATTCCTCACTTAGCAATGAACATAGACTGCTTTTTATTCATTTATTCATTTGACAAGTATTCAATGAACACATTTTTGATAACTTGCATTCTTCTAGATGAAACATCTAAGACCCATTTTCATAAAGCTTATATTTTAATGGGAGATCGGGAGAAGTGTACATAAATAGGAAAATATCTAATAGTAGTATGTGCCATGGCAGATCATTAAAACAGGGTGGTATAAAAATGATCTGGTACCCTTTTTAGATTGAGTGTCAAGAAGATTTCTCAGAGAAAGCCTGCTAAGTAGGGAGTTGAGTGACAAGGACATGGCTCTTCCTAAAACAGTGCAGATTGGCATTTGGGGGAAAAAAAAATCAAAGGAAGAAGTGAGGCTGAAATAAAGTCAACAAGGGGGATAGTGATGAAAGATGAGGTGAGGGAGGTAAGCAAGATGCAGCTGATTGGGGGCGTCGAGGTCATGCTGAGAAATGGAGATTTTATTCTAAGCCTTCTAGGAAACTAAGCAAAGAATTGAGCTCTCTTTTCTTGTAAGTCAGTCTTCCTGACCTCCACGGGTTAACATCCTACTTTTTAAATCATTTTTAAAATTTCTCATGACTCCTAGGCAGCCTAAACCTTTGTACACAGAAGGTTCTTTAATAAACTGCTGTTGATTGGCCAACTGATTGGCTGTGTTGAGAGCTAAGCTACATCAATTGTGTCTGACTCTTTGCAACCCAATGGACTGTAGCCTGCCAGGCTCCTCTGTCCATGGGATTTTCCAGGCAAGAATATTGGAGTGGAATGCCACGCTTCAGGGGATCTTCCCAACCCAGGGATGGAACCCAGGTCTCCCACACTGCAGGTGGATTCTTCTACTGAGTCACCAAGGAAGCCCCAACAGGTTGGCTATTAACATGAAATCTTTAAATCAGTTAATATTTTAAGTAGGGGCTTCACCCCTGGAGCAGTCAGAGGTCAGGATGATTGCAGTCCTCAACTTCAAATTCACAGGAAGGCTGAGGAAGTGAGCTCACCATGGAGGCAGCTGCCTTCAGACACAGCCTATGACTCGAAGCCCAGACATGTGACAATGTCTCACACTGCTCTGAGCAGTTCGAAATGAATGGAGCATCTTGTGGACTCCTCCAGAGCAAAGCAAATTCTTTAACTTTGAAGAGAGGTTCTCACTAGGTCTTTGTATTCACCTGTCACATGGCTATAACTGAAACTCTGCAACAGGTAAATCTGTAACAATTCATGCTAATCATGTTTAAAAGTATCTTTGTGTGAGACAGCAGCCTGAATAGCCAGAGGGAATTAATTCAGAGAGGTTATTCTGTAGTTTCTCTTTTAATACATGCCCCATATTTATATGCCTTTCTTTTGATTGGAGAGTCATCTTTAATCACAGCTTTAAGGGAAGCGAGTATAATAAAGAGGACGTTAAACATTCTGAAAACTAGGATGCTTCTAATGTTAGCTGAGAGTAACCTGACTTATTTTTCACCCTGAGCTCTACAAAAGGCAAACCTCAAGCAATTAGTAAAAGAAAGAAAGAAAAAAAAAAGTGGTGGGGGGATCATCCTCCTTCTACCTGGCCACTTGTGGTCTAAAAAGGTCCTGTAAGCTATGATGGGAGGAATTTGTGCCTTTGAAACCCAGGTAGATGCCAGCATCTTTTTAATCCTATGTGACGTTAGGCAGTGCTAAGAAGTATATATATAAATTCACTAATAGAAAAGAAAAAGAAAGAAGGAAGAGAGTGGAAGGAGGAAGGGAAGAAGGGAGGGAGGAAAGAAAAGAACTGTCAGATGTGGAGAACTGCAAGAAAGAAGTCACTGATAGGAGACCACCAACGCTATATGGAGGCAGAGATCCTTACCTTCTAAGCTTGCAGGAAAGTGCCTGGCAGGCAAGGAGGTGGGGTGTGGGGTTAGGGAGAAGGAGAAACGTGGGAGGAGGTAGGGAGGGGGTGGGGAGAAGAGCGTGGGGAGAGGAAAGAACTGAATTTGAGAGACAGCAGGCAAGCCAGAGGAAAGAGAAACATGATGAAAAGTTAGAAATGAAAAGACAGGAGATCTAGGCAATTATTCCCCAAATTTCCTGAGAATCAACCTGAGGGGATCTGCCTCTACCTCAGATTTCCAGGCCGGCTCCATTATGGCAGAAATGGGGCTGGAGATGGATTGTAGCTCCGGAAACTAATAAAAGTCAAACCCAAACACTACACAGGAGACGCTGATGTGCAGGTAGATCAGGGAAGATGCTAAGGAGACGGGAGAAAGATGCGGCCCTAGCGCAGTAGCGGGAAGGCACCCACTTGTCATCTTCAAGAACCGGAGTTCTCCACCTGTTAGGAGTGGTTCCCAACTTCGCCTGTCCCCACATGACGTGCCCTTCAGTGGTGTTTGGAAGGGCAGGCGGCTGACCACGAGGATAACGATATAGGAAGCAGTATTCTCCTTCGCCGGTTGCAGTTGCCCGGGTGGGGAAGCAGCCCTGGCTCCCCCGCCCGCGCTGGGATCGCCAGGGGGCCCCGGGTGCTTGTGGAGTTTGGCCACTGATTGGCACCAAGTGGTGAGAGAATCTCCCACATGCGGGAGGAGCTAGCGAAAGTGACTCGGTCTTGGAAAACGGACCAGCGGCAGTAGCAAGCCATCTAGCCTGACACGCATTTCCGATCGTCATGGTAACGCGCTCAGCGGCCGGGATGCTGCGGGGGAAGCGCGGCTGCGCGGGGACCCTGCAGGCGCGTGGGGCCGCCGCCCCCTCTGCGCTGCGCGCGCGCCGCCTGGAGCCGCCGGAGCGTGGGGGAGGCAGAGGCCGGCGGGGAGCGCCGCCGCCCAGGCAGGGGAACAATGGCCTCTCGCGATGCTGGCGACGTGGGCTCGGATTGTGCGTTACTATGACAATGGTAAATAGGTTCACTGGCTCTCAGAGAAGTGGCTACGTGCGGTGTGAGCTGCAGAAGCCACAGTCTCCCTCCAGTTCCAGATCACCCGTCCCCATTCATGGGTCTGTTTTCACATAGCAGGAAATGAGGGGCTTACGGAACTCTTGGTTTTAGGCACTGGGCATCTTCCTGACAGCGATCTGTGCTGAGTTTGTGTTAGTGGCTACAACTATTTTTTTTAAGCCTGGTAGTAGAAAGAACGGGCTTCCTGGTGGCTCAGACGGTAAAGCGTCTGTCTCCAATGCTGGAGACCCGGGTATGAACCCTGGGTCGGGAAGATCCCCTGGAGAAGGAAATGGCAACCCACTCCAGTACTCTTGCCTGGAAAATCCCATGGACAGAGGAGCCTGGTGGGCTACAGTCCACGGGGTCGCAAAGAGTCGGACACGACTGAGCGACTTGACTTACTAGTATACAGAAGAGAATGCAGCCTGCTCCTCACATGGTAATTACTTCGCCTGGGGCGGGGAGTGGGGAGGGGGGGATGAACTAAGTGTTTTGATAAAGTGGTTCTGTGAAATTCTACACATATCAGGAATGTCTCAAACATCACGTTTAAAAGAGACAACCACATATGAAATCGTGATTAGTTCTGTTGCTGCTTCCAAGTGGAATATCCTGTCTTCTCTGAAACCTGTTAACACCTTCCAAAAAAATAAACTAGAAAATGCAGAGCGCCGTCAGAAGAGCTATAGCTTTTCCTAGAGTACAGATTACCTACTGTGTCAGAGCCAGTCTGTGAAACGTGTGTGCAGAAATAAGGTATTGATTAACTACAGTCATAGTAAACTCGGAACTTGCATTAATATTACCCACCACTGGCAATTTTGCGTTTTATCATTCATCAGAACATAACAGTGCATGTATACACACATTCTTAATAAACTCTGCCACAATTATCAGGGTTTAGAGTATATAGCCTTTTATATTTAGAAAAGACAGATTTTTTTAAAGCCCACTATCATATGCAGAGGATGAGATGGTTAGATAGTATCACCGAGCCACTCAATGGAGATGAATTTGAACAAACTCCAGGAGATAGTGGAGGACAGAGGAGCCTGGCATACTGCAGTCCATGAGGTTGGAAAGAGTCAGACACAACTTAGTGACTGAACAACAGTTATATGCTTAAAGATACAGTCCACAGCTATCCTTATTTGCAGTTTATCTGAATAAATTTAACAAATTCGTTATATACCACAAATTGTTTTAAATATGCTGTTCAGTAAACAAACATAATTTCTTTCACTGGCTGGTTCTAAAACACTTCTTCCACTTCATCTCTACATGCACTCTCCCCAGCATCTGTATTTTATCCCATTAATACTCCCCTGGGAGTATTTCTGTTCACACCAGCCAGACTGCCTCCAAGACCTCCTCACCTCCAGTCATGCCCGGAGAATCATTTTAATATGTTTTCTCTTGTGCCACCTCCCCTGCCCCTCCACCACATGGAATCACCAAACTCTTTCAATTCAAGTCACATTTTCTTGTTTGTCTGAGAGTTCCTTCCATTCTATTTTAACCATGGTAAATATTTACTTGGTAGGTTTTTGAATTTTTCCATATTACATCAGTTTTGGACTTATATTGTTTCTTTTATTCATTTTTATATGTGAGCATGTCAAAGAATCTACCATGACAAATTTATCTTTATATCCGCCACAGTGGCTGACACATAAAAAAATGAATGAATGAATAAATGAATGAATATTGATGTTGGCACATTCCAATTGCTTCAGCTGCTTAGAGGAATTCCTGTGGTTATTCTCACCTTCTGCTCCCTCAAAGATATCACCTCCCTAATGGAATAAAATGTGGAGACGTGGTTTGGATCCTGATTCAAACAAATCTACTTCAGAACAAGAAAGAAACTTTGAGGGATAATGGAAGATACCTGAATAAGGACTGTGTATCAGTAATTTTAAGGAATTATCAGTCATTTGCAAAGGTGTGATAATGGTATTATGGTTATTTAAAAGCTTATTTTTGAGATACTACTAAAAATGTTTACGAGTAAAAGGTTACCAGATATGTGATTTACTTTAAAATATAAATGATAATGCAACAGTGGCAAGACATTAATAATTGTTAAGTTCAATGTGAATAATTAAGTCTAATCAAGTAATTTTTTTGGCTGCCTCTTTTTATACCACACTTGATAAAAACTAAAATAATAATAAAGAATGAAAGTAAGTAAGGACTATACCTCCACATGGCAATTATCTGGGAGTGACTTTAGAATAGTCTGTCTATTCCTTACTTAACTATCCTGTAAGGCAAGCAGCTGACTGTATCACAATTCACAGAAGGTAAATCATGGTTCAACACTAGAGGTAGGTACCAGGGCTGCAGGAATCCAAGGAAAAAAAGAGCTAGTAAACTTCAGAACACTAAAGCTTTCTTCCATTCTAAAACATCTCCCACTCTGTTGGGAAATAGCCCATTGGCCCAAGAAGGAAATGACAACTGCTAAATGCTAGAAAAATGACAAAAATAATGAAAATACCTCCCTGGTACAGAATGAGACTCTAAAACTAATAATATATGTATGGGCAAGTTTATTTTTAAAAGCTGTTCCATAAAACAAGAACAGTAATCCCATTACTGAAGATGAAGAAACTCAGGTCCTGATAGTTAGTGTATACATTTATCCTTGGGCTGTTTACAAATTATTAAATGGATGAAAAATAATTCCCAAGATTAAGACAGTAGCTAAATCTCAGAATCAAAACACAACCATTCCCTGACATTCTGACTATTAATTTAACATACAATTCATCCCTTATCTGTTCTTAAAACAGTGGGATGGAAAACCTTGCCTCATTTCTTACCAGCAGGCTACAGGAAGAGGAACACTCCCTGCTGCAGAAAAGAACCAGTTCAGGAGTTGTCTTTTTACAGAACATCAAAAATTTCTAGAAGGCTTTTAAAATTTGTTTCATTTTAACCCTCCTGACACCACTGCAGTTAGGTGGGTGGTAAATGCCATGCAGTTTACTTCATACATCAAAAATGCTTATGAGAGCTGAGATGATGTTCGAGGTGGCAATGGAAACAGAGTAGACAGAATTCTGGAACTGGAGACCCAAATACAGTCTTACTATATCCACATCACCAAAGTCACAAGGTATTGCTTTTCTTTTTTGGCCCTCAGGGATTCTAGAAGAGCAAAACCATCAAAGTAAAAAGTCGTTTGCTTTCCACATGGGTTGAATATCCTGAGCGGTACACTTGGATCTCAAAAAGATTTCTGAAGCCTTTGCAATGTTCATAACAATTATGGAAGAGATGTACTATTCACTATATTATATAATGAAACAAACTTTGGGCTCGAGCTGTGGCAAGTTTGGCAATATGCCCATTTCATTTTGTGAAGCAACTATTTAGTTGTTTAAAACAAAAACAACAATGGTAAAATGGTTGGTATCCATTAGCTCTTGTTAGGCAATTATACTGAAAAACAGTAATTGAATTCTATTAAAAATATTTAAAATTTGTAAAATCCTCCAAACACCATTTATATTGAAATCAAGAAGCTAATATTAAATTCTTTCAGAGAATTACCTGTCTTTAAAATGAGTGCTTCTTATACAGGGTTATTACTCCTTGAACATAGTTAACCTATGCATATGGTCAAAGGAACTCAAGATGACTTTGTGTTTAGAGAGGGCTACCATCTGCAATGTGATTCCCCAGTGGGTCAAACAGTAGAGTCTGCCTGCAATGCAGGAGACTGGGGTTCGATTCCTGGGTCGGGAAGATCCCCTGGAGAAGAAAATGAACCCACTCCAATATTCTTGCCTGGAAAATCCCATGAATGGAGGAGCCTGGCAGGCTACAGTCCATGGGGTCACAAAGAGTCAGATACAACTGAGCAACTTCACTTTCACCACCTGCAGTAGGGTTTGATGAAAGATGGGCTTCTCCCTTTGACATCAGCTCCCAAAGCATAGCACCAAACTCTTAACATCCTACCTTCCTTAAATCACTAGTTATGAACTGGTGATTCGACAAACATTCATCAACATCTCTTCCAGGATCATTCTGAACTGCTAATGTTGAATGTCCAGTGTAAGATGCAGTGACCCAATAAAGGTAGAAACAGGTATATCTCTTGTCTGAGTCCTTTCTATGGACTGAGAAAGGACCCCTGCCTAGCTGAAGATGCTGTTTTGACTGTTTTTGTATTTACTCTGTTTCAGTCTATAAGCTGGGGGCCAAGTTGCTTTATAGTTAGAAGACCACCCGCCACATAAACAGGTTAGAACTAAAAGCCTCTGAAATAAACTATCAACACCTTTATAGTGAGTGTCACCTTCACTTCCCAGCCCTTGTTATGTACTGTAGAATTTACTGATTTATGAATGTCAGAGCTGAAAGGGATCTTAGAAATCCTCCCAACCAATTTCCATCCTGTATATGCAGAAGAAATAT